GGCATTGGTCGCCACCAGCATCCGCCGTACTACTACAAGGCGGCGGTGGGACGGAGGCCGAGCGCCAAGCACCACGAGTCCATGCTGGGCGGCGGAAGTAGTCTGGAGGACGACGATGTCGCCAGTGCTGGTAGCTTCGGGGAGGGAATGTCGCGGTTTAAGGTAAGCCAAGGGAGTCAGTGATGAGCAGGAGCAGGAACAGCTAGGATATTGTTGTGGATTCGTGGATTTTATTCCTTGATTTTATGAGATTTTTATTATATACTTAAATTAATATTATTTAGTTATACCTATATAATCAATTGTTCACAAAAATACTTAACTAAATGTCCTTGAAATCGAGATTTGAACAAGGCATATTTTATAAAATTGAAATTGTGCACAGAGCTATTAATAAGGTAAGGTTTTAAAGTGTATATTAACTTGTAAACTTTACCTTTATCTCAAGTTCCAATAATAGCACATATTAAACCCAAACTTTCCACTATAAAAACCTCCTTATAAGATCTCTAATCTATACAACTTCCATCTAAATTGTCAACTCTATAACTCCCCTATATAAACACAAGGTTATTGAGTTTCCATTCGAAACAACAGCGGACATTTCGCTTTGTGTTGGGCGGTCTTGGCTTTGCTCTCTGTAATTAAATTGATTTGTTCATGAGTGCGAAAATGAGCCGCTGATTGACCACAATGGCCCAGCACGATAAACACAAGATGAATGGGTGGGAGATGAGCAGCTAATATATCAATCGAATATGTGGCCATGTTCTGTGGTTTAATGGAAGCTGTGGGCTTCAATCTCTGCATCGTTCGGTGGTTTCGTATCAACAGGTGGCTGATAAAGAGCCGCGTTGATTGCAGAAAATACCACAATGTGCGAGTGTATGGTTAATGGGATTAATAAATTATGTTAGGTGTTAAACGAAAGAGTGAAAAAAATCAGAAATTGGATGTTATTTACTTTGTTTTTGTTTGAATTAATATTTAAATTACTTACACTTTAATTATTCGAGTATACGAAGTCTAAATTATACCTTTAAAATAACAAATTTACTTTATTTAATGTTTTCCCCTTAAACTTCAATAATCCAATACCAAAAGTACCCATAAAAGCATACTTAAATCTTCTCTCATCCCTTGAGTATTTAATTTCCCCAAATAAATCATCTTTTACCAGCTTTAAGCTCTCACAATTCTCCACTCCCTGAATGATTAACTTCACCCAGATTAGAAATTCCCTGAGACATCAACTAATTATGTCTAACCCCGAGCTCAACTTACGTGTATGCATTTTTGTAGCTCATTAGTTAAACACGATAAAATGTGTGTACAATTAGCAGAGTAAAAAAATACAAGGAACAGAAGCAAGAGCTAAAGCCCCCTCAGGAGCTAAACACACCCAGGACAAAGCAAATTAATTAATTTTAGGACAGTTTAATGAAAAACCAAGCGACAAATGAACAAGCTGTTGCTGTGGGGGGAAAAAAAAAGAAAACCGAGACATTTCCCCCTCAGGCAGTAAAGCAAGCAAAAGCCAGCAGACGAAAAATCATCAATTTTTTTCATGCTTGTTATTGTTGCTTGTGGACCTCAAAATAGTTGTTAAAATCCCCCCTCACGTCCGAACGATTATGTCCTTAGAGCAACAAGGAAGCTCAAGTGCTGAACAAAAAATGAAGCTAAACAAGTATACGACATGTGGTACCAGCAGCAAATTCCTATAGAACTTCGGGCTGTAAAAACTCCAACTAATTGCCGGAAGTCCAGTCAGCCAGCAAACGAATCCTGTTTTCCTGGCTAAAAACCCGAGAGCTCTCAATAACCTTTTCAGTTTCATATTTATTAAATGAATCAAAGATTGGTGGTGATGGCCAGAGGTGAGTACAGATATATCAGACTAATTGCGCCACATTGTTCAGCGAATTCAATGGGAAATCCCAAAACAATCAACGAAGAGAGAAAAAATATATGTTTTCGGGGGGAATATGAATAGCCTGAATGGACATTGATATGATAGAAGTTGGTCAAGCGTTGGCCATTGAAAGCCAAAAGTGGCCAAGAACAAACTAGGAAGTGTAACTATAGTTTATTAATGGGGGGAATGGAGATACTCTTACGGGTTTATGAATACTATGAGATGGAAAATGGATTTATGGTGGAGTTAAAGGAAGTTTTGTAAATAATGGAAGTCTGTTTAGGTCTTTATAATGACTTAAAGTGCTAAATTTAATTATTTTTGAGAGATTTAATTGTATATTTTTTTATAATTTTGGTATATTATACATTGTGATTCTTATACTTTAAAGTAATTGTACAAATGGACCGTAAATTATCTTTTACTTGAAGACAAATTTATGTTTATTGTTTATTATTAGATATTATTAATATTTATTTAAATTAAACCTTGTTCAAATAAATGTATTTAATTTATTAATTTACAAGACTTTTTCTTTAAAAGAGCATATAATTTATGGACTTCCCAACTTTAATACCAAATCTCTTATAATTACAGGTTAATGTGCCCCTAAAATATAATTATAGAAATTACAACCCATGAAATTTTTATAATTTAAATAAAATCCCCTTACTTTTATCGTTTTTCGCCAACTCACAAAATAATCCCTCATGGCCCCAAGGAAATCCAAGAGGATTCATAAATTTCGAGGAATAAGTTGTAACTAACATGTCTTCGACGTTGTGCCAGTTGTGCCTCCATAGGGCTATATTTTATCCCAGAGATTTCGGAAACACGGGCTCTGTCTACGTGGTCACTGGGGAATCCCCCCTTACACACACACACACACATACGTGTTGTACTTTTTTTTGGGGTATTCATAACAAATGCGATTTTGGCTCTGTTCCTTCGACAGTTTGATTCTAGTTCCGGTGTGCGGATATCTGTGCAAAAGCTTCCATAAAATTCCAGTATTAAGTGTATGCATTAGGTATATATATAGGTATATATATAGATAAGTACATATGTATATGGAAATGTGCTAATGCCAAAAGGTGCAGTCGAGTTGAGTGTGTCCGGAACTGGTTTTTCCAGAATTCTTGGTCGCCGCTCAATAATAATATTTCTTATATTTGCTGGGCTTAAACAAGCCTTTTTTATTGTGCTTCTGTGGAGAGCACATAAACTGGTGGGAAAATACAAATTATATCTTTGAAGAGAGCTTTAACTAAGAAAATATACAATAACATAAGTACAACAACATTTACAAGAAAGAATTAATGAGGCCACAAAGGTGAAGTTTTAAACAAAGAAAAACGAAAGTTACAAACCATAAGTTATTGAATTAAAAAGTAAAGAATTTAATGTCTTTCTTATAAAATTAAATATTTATACATTTATGTATATTTTCCTTTCTCTAAGATATTATATTTAAAAGAATTTAATAGGTTTCATTAAATTTAGTTGACTGTACCTTTTTATTTTCAGTAATACATGTTGTATACAGCTGTTTAAATTAATTTAACATACATATTTATTAACTCTTCATCAGAGTTATCAGTCACATTAGCTCCATCGGTTAATTATAAACCTATAAAACCTATATAACATTAAAATTCCTGCAAAAATAATAAGCTGCACACAAAAGGCAACCCCCACAATTGATCTCAAACCATAACCTTGAGCTCTAACAAATAAATCCCATTAAGTAATCACAAAAAACTGTCACGCTCCGTCAAAAATTCATTGAAGCAAACAATAAAAACACAAAAAACAAGCAACTGAAAACAGAAATAAATGCGAAAAATAAATACAAAATAAAGTGCAAAAGCATTTTCGTTTAATGATAGATTTCAACAGCTCAATTAACACATCGAAGTTGAGTTTAAAAAAGTGCAATAAGTGAAACAAAGGCCCCAAAATTTTCTTGTCTTACCGAGGCGTGGACAACTTCAATTATTTTTTCGTCGCGTAATGTTAAATTATGTAAAAGAAACAGCTCACAAACTTGGTGAAAATACAAAGTAACCCCAGAGACAGGTCCAAAATAAACATTCGATACGTAGACAGCAATTTCTGATTTTATATTTTCTTATGTCATGCAGCAATTGAGACCCCAGCGTACCCCTTTGGACCCCTTTCTACCTGAATATATATATCTATATATTATATACTATATATGCACACCTCTGGTCAGTACCATAAACCAGTTGTTGGCGACCCAGTCTTAACCAAAAACTACTTTCATTTTCGCTCTCCTCCACCTTTTGGGCTCACACTTCCAGGCCAAATCTTTTTGAGTGGAACGCGTTGAGTGAATGGCAGATGAGAGGGAAAGAGAAAGAAAGAAATAGTCATTGAGCATGCGCAACGCCACTTTCCATATATATACATATATATATATATATACAGATATACAGACATATAGACGTGTCGGGCTTATCCGATTAGGCAGAAAGATTGTATCCAAATTGGCCAAATGTGCGCAATATATAATTTAACTTGGCCAACTTGCACTTTTTTTTGGTCAGCCCAGAAAGGTGGCCAAGTGAATGGAAATGGAAATTGAGGAAATGAAAGCCCATTTTCCCTGCATGGAAAAGAAGGGGGTTAATGAACCTGCTGGGTTTCGAAAGTAAATTCAAATTAAAAATATTACTTTCCTATGATAATTCGATTTAAGAGGATTTGAGAGTAATCTCTACATATGGTTTTTGAAAATAAAAGAAGCTTATCATTAAAATAACAAAGCTTAACATATTTAATTTTAATTTAAGAAGATTATTTAGTAAATATGTTTTTTAAAGATATATTCAATACTGTATAAAATAAGGAAGAATCCATTTATTGATTTCGGAGCCCTAAAATGTTTCGATGTTATTAAATGAATTTTAAAGCCCTAATCTGATAAATTATTACATATTTATGCTACAATTATATTAAATTTATTTTTAAAATTAATTTAAAATTTATATTTCCTAGAATATACCTAAAATATGGTATTAATTTTCCTCTTATTTTATTTTTTCCCAACTTAAAACAGAACCTAATGCATTCCAAGGAGAAAAAGCGCCGTGTGCGAATCATTCTGAGTGTTGTGACAGCAGTCATTGCCTTGGCTCTGCTGGGCACTGCCTTGTACTTTATCCTTCGGACTGATGAAAATGATAATTCCAGTGATTCAGATAATAATAACAATAATAATAACAATAATGCCATTGATCTAGAGGATGTGCTGAGCGGTCAGCTTTATGCAAAGCGTTTCAATGGCAGCTGGAGTAATGGCGACAGTCTGATATACAAGGAGAATGCGGTAAGTGAATACTACTCATTATATTTTGTATTTAATTATTAAAGATTGTTAAAAACAAACACAAATTATGGGAAGACACGTAAAATATAAAAGTGTTTTTACAACAAAGAAGAATATATAAGATAAAATAACCGTGACTGGGAGTTAACGTAATAGAGTAGCTTCATTAAAAGACGTTTCAAACTCAAAATTCGTTGCTTAGTCTTGCTTAAAAATGTTACTTTAAATATACATTTCATAATAGTTTTTCTTTCACAATTTTGCCGTAAACAAATTTATAGTTAAACCCATTAACTTAATCCCTTATCATCTCCATTTAGTCCATCATGGAGTTCGATGCCAAGACAGGAGCACGCAGCACTCTGCTCGATGGTGCCTCCCATTATGTTCTGTATGAGAAGTCCGCCGATGGCCAGTTCCTGCTGCTGGCTAAGAACTACAAAAAGAACTTCCGGTATAGTTTTCTGGCTGAGTACGACCTGTACAATCTGAACACAAAGAAATTCACTCCACTAACCATCGAGGGGCAGCAACTCTACCTGAGCATGGTACAGTGGGCACCCGTGGGCAACGCTCTGGTGATCAATTTCAATCGCAATCTGTACTACAAAGAGAGTGCCACTGCTACGGAGATTGCCATCACCAGTGACCCAGAGCAATCGGGCGTACTCAATGGCATTCCCGATTGGGTGTATGAGGAGGAGGTATTCAGCTCGAATGTGGCCACTTGGTTCAATCCCTCGGGCACACAGTTGGCCTTCATAAAGTTCGATGATTCGACCACACATCAAATCAACTTCCCCTACTACGGTGATGCCGGTGACCTGAGGTATCAGTATCCCCTTCATCAGGTTATTGCCTATCCCAAGGCTGGTTCCTCTAATCCACGAGTGGAACTTGTGATGGTTGACCTGAAGAGAGCTGTGTCTGGTAGAGATTTCATTACTGTGATGCCTGTGCCGGCAGCGCTGAATACGGAGACGGATTACATAGTCACTGTGGTCAGTTGGGTTGATGATACCAATGTCCTGTCCATCTGGATGAATCGCATTCAGAATGCGGCCTATGTTGTAACCTTCGATGGTCTCAACAGGCGGGTGGTAAGTAATCCCACTATATATAAAGATATTTGGGTATATCCTGTATTCCTAACAGATCTACAGCACCGAATCAAAGACAGGCTGGGTGAATCTCTATACCGCTCCCTTCAGGAACAGGAACGGATCTCGTCTGGCCTTTGTCCTGCCGCACAATAACTACAAGCACTTGCAACTCCTCAGCTCCACAGTGGCCAGCCCAGAGTTACAGGTCCTGGAACCCCTTACCGAGGGCAAATATGTGGTGGATAGCATCCTTCACTGGGATGGCTCCACCGATGTCATCTTCTATACGGCCAACACGGAGGATCATCCGGAGCAACTTCATGTGTACGCGATACGAGCTCTGGCCAAGCAGAGTCCCAAGTGCCTCACTTGCAACCTGATCAAGTCCGGGGATGTGCAGCAAACCTACTTCTCGGCGACTTTCAATGACAATAACCATATTGTGATCACATCTCTGGGACCCGGAATACCCACAACACACATCTATGAGTGGAAATATGAAAATTGTAAGATTAGGAAGATTTTAAATAATTATAAGGAGGTTAAAAATGATAAGTTAATCTTACTTTTCAGCTCAAGTTCTCATCTCGAATGTCCTGGACTGGGAGACCAATGAGATCCTGCGTGGCAAACTTAAGGGCGTGGCCCTGCCCTCTCACAAGATCCTCACATTCAATATTGATGGTGGCTTCCAGGCCAAGGTTCTGTTACAGCTTCCCCCTAATCTGGATACCAGTGGCAATACCAAATATCCCATGCTGGTGGATGTCTATGGCGGACCAGATTCATATTCCGTAAGCTAGAATTTGGGAGGAATTATGGAGAATTTACACATAATTATAATATAAATTGGTTTCTTAGGTAACCAACAAATGGATGCTGGACTGGGGCACATATCTGACCTCAAATCAGTCTGTGATCTATGCCAAGATCGATGGTCGTGGCTCTGGACTTCGTGGCGAGAATCTTTTACATGCTATTTACTTGCAGCTGGGAACTGTGGAGATCACTGATCAGATCAAGGTTACACAGTAAGTATTTCTTAGTTTCATTATTAGGTAAAAGTACTTAGTACTTATACCAGTTATAAATCCAAGAGGGAATGCTCTTTCCTTGCTGAACACGAATCTAATGCCTGCTTTCCACGATCACATCAGGTTTCTTCTTATTTTTAAATACTAATGAATTATGGATATTATTTATGAATAAATAATTATTTTTACTTCTAGAAACCTCACTCAAATGTTCAACTATATAGATAAGGATCATGTGGGCATTTGGGGCTGGTCATATGGTGGCTATGCCGCTGCCATGGCTCTGGCCAATGATAATAGCCAAGTATTCAAGTGTGCTGCCTCGATAGCTCCAGTCACAGACTGGGCCTACTATGGTGAGCTATCATCTATCTAAATTAACTTTTATATTTAGATAATTAATTAAATACTCCCCCTATAGATTCCATTTACACGGAGCGCTATATGGGCCTGCCCAATACCAATGAGGTGGGTTATGCCAACTCCAGACTGAGTACACAGGCACAAAAGCTGAGGGGCAAGAAGTATCTGCTGGTCCATGGCACTCTCGATGATAATGTACACTATCAGCAGGCCATGATCTTGGCCAAGAATCTGGAGAGACATGATATTCTGTTCAAGCAGATTGTAAGTTTAATTTAAATAATATCTCACAATTTAAATATTAAAAATATTAATTTCCTTGCAGAGCTATGCCGATGAGGATCATGGCCTGTCCAATGTGCGTCCTCATTTGTATCATTCACTGGATCGCTTCTTTGGCGAATGCTTTGCCAGCAGTCGCCTCATGAAAAGTGCCAAGTAGATTGGGCCCATTACAATAAAAAATAATACAAATTAACAAATAATAATAGCAAGGCAACATTTTACAGCTGCAACTAGTAAAGAGAAACAAATTAAATACAATTGGTACTTAAAAAGTTAATAGATCGCCGAATTAAACGAAACAACTTTAACGAAAACTTAATAATCAGACAATTTAAATTGATATATAAAGTTGAAAACGCTTAAAGAATAAAACTAAACGAGAATTACATATAAATCAACATAAATGCAGGTCCAAAAGTGTTATATAAGATCAACTTGGAACAATAATCTTTTCAATTTGCATTTTTAAAAACATTTTAAAATTATATAGAAAGCAAAAAATTAGTTGAGATAGCTGTGCAATTGAGAGGGGAGAAGAAAATATTGTCTAGCTAGTGCCTGATTATATAAAGTGTATTGTAGATATATTGCAATTCAATTACAAAAGCTATATAATCCACACTTTTTGCAAGCGATCCTCCAATTTAAGCTTACTCCCAAACTTCCCTATAGGTCCGAGAAATTTAATTTGTAACGAACCTTCCTGTACATTTAATAATAATGAAAATAAAACCTATAGTAGTATGTAATATTTTTTTAGCAGTTTAGTTTGCTAAAAAGAAAAACCTGTAAATATAAAAGAAAAAAACATAGTTGTTAAATGGCTTTTTGTAAATTAGAGAAGACAAACATTGTGTATAGGCAACAGTTAAAAAGGCAAACAAACAATAAATAATTAAATTAAAGAAACTACTCGTTTTTCTTAAATATAAATAAAAACACATTTCACTTGATCACTTTCAGTACACAAAAACCGGCTCGCTTTTATTGCCTTGGCCCCAAAAATACTGGGTTTACATACTTGACAAATATATGTTTTCCTACAGATAGATATATCCATCGCATTGATAATTATATGGGCCGTTCTTCCGCTCTTCAACAGTTTTTTAAACAATCAGAATTGAATATGTTTTATGTGCGAAAATTACTTTTTGTTTCTAATTTAAAGTCGAGATATATATTACAATTTAATATTAGATTTTTGATCTGCAAAACTGACAATAACCACTAGTAACTACTGTCAGTGATTAATTATTTAGTATATGTGCAATTATTTTCTCAACTAGAATTTTTGATATCTGTTATATTATCGGTTTAATTGTGTATAGTACAAAAATAATCTTTTTTAAACACTAATTAATTGAATTCGCCTTCAATGTATGTATATGTAAATATTGTTAGATTATTATTTTCAATGGAAAATATATATATACTTTATACCGAAAGAACTATATACAAATTGTTAAGGTTTCAAATATAAATTTTAATTTATGTACAATATTTGAGTTTGGTGTACTCCAAAATGTGTGCTCAGTTTAAAAATAAAAACCAGTTACTTTTTAAAATATATAAAACCTTGTTTATAAGGAATTCTTAAAAGAAAATCACTGATAAAAGTTAATTAAATATTTTTTAAAACATTAAGAAAATTACAATTTAAAATCTATGTTCTGAAAGTAATCATCACACACTTTGGACTTTACCAAAAACTATGGCTTATTAAATGGCTAAAACTTATCCTAATGCTAACTCTCGGATCGGATCTTTCTCTCTTACTGGAGATAAACCTCTTGGACAACGTCATGATGTTGCTGCTGCTGCTGTTGCTCCTCATCCTGCAGCTGCAATTGATGATGATGCTGCTCCTCGATCGTTCCGCCATCATCGACGTACTCGATCAACTGGTCATCCTCCGTCTGCTGCTGATGATGATCTATGATTATGTGCTCCTGTTCCAGCTGATGGTGTTGGTGGTACTCATGTTGCTGCTGCTGCTGTTGGCTCTGATGATGATGATGATGTGGATGATGGGTAAAGACTAAGGGCGGCGGCGATGTTGACGTTGCTATATGCTCATGTATCGCCGTCGTTCCTGTCCCGGTCGATGTCGATGCTGTGCTGGCTGTGGTTGTGGTCTGATGATACGTGTTGGTTTGTTGCTGGTTCCTTACAATATGACCGGCGGCTGTGACACTGCTCACGCTGGCGCGCTGATTAGTGCGCGTCAGGGTGACGGTCACCTCGGAGCCAAGGCCGGCAAACGAGACAGCTGGCGGAGAGCAAGAGGTTGTCCCTCCTCCTCCTCCGCCGGATGATGCTGATGATGCTGCTGCTGCTGCTGCTGCTGCTGCCGCCGAGGCTCTGGCCTGGAGAATCTTACGAGTGGTGGGCAATTGAGTTGAAGTGCTCTGAGTGGCAACGGATGCGGATCCGGCAGCTGTTGCGCCCGATCCCGTGCCCGTGCCCGACTGCGGCACATAGTTGATGAGCAGGACACGCTCGCCGCTGGTGGTCTGCGCCGCATGGCCGCGCAGAATGCGACGCTGGAGCGTGGATGTGGCGCCTCCTCCAGTACCAGTTCCAGTTGATGATGTTGATGTGGCTGGCGTGTTGCTCCTACTATTACCGCTGCTGCTGCTGCTTACGGTTGCCGCTGCCGAGACGCCGTTGTTGCTGCCACTGCTGCTGCTCGCGTTGCTATGCTGCTGTTGTTGCTGCTGCTGCTGTTGCTGCTGCTGATGCCCGCTCCCGCCTCCTCCTCCTCCTCCAGGGCCGCTGGTCATATCGTTGGCTCATCATTACGTATTATTACCGCCTTTCAAAATGAAAACCTTCTTTACCAAAATGTTCTTATTGTTGCCCTTTAAGTTTGGTAGTTGCAATAATGTTTCGATGGGTCATAAAATATGGATTGATTGATTGATTCAGATGCATCATGAACACATATTTATATATATTGAGTTTTTGATTGGTTAAATGGTGATTTTATTATTTAGCGTGGCAGCGAGAAAGAGAGAAGACAAGATAAAACGATTTGTTAATGGTTTAGTTTATGTGCCTCAAAAAATGGTTAAAGTGTAACAATGAGGTGAGATAATGCGTCGTGTGTTTGTGTTTCTTAAAATGTGTTAAAGTGACATCTCTGGAGTGCAGCTTAGTCACAAAATTATGAATCTTTGAGAGTTCCGTCCAAAGTCTCTGTTTTTATTGGCCAATTAGCATAATTACAATATATTAAATAACAAATAAAGTAGCACAAGCAGTAGAAAATAAAAATACGCCATAAAGCCTTTGTTTAATAAATAAAATAAACAAACCTAAAGCTTTACAAATCTTTAAAAATTATATAAAAAAGATAAGTTCCAGAATAATCAAAGAAAGTTTAAAAATAATAAATTTCCATCACCAAATGAAACGTTAGAAATAAAAAGAAAATACTTTTGGAAACAATTTTTATGTAAACAGTTTTCGGTTTATTATTTTCTCTTATTTAATTATTTTTTTTTCGTTTTTTTTTTTGTTTTAAATAAAATTAAATTTTATTTAAGTATATTTAAAAATGACTAATAATAAAATGCAACGTCTTCAGATAGATGGAATATACTCCTCTTGCTTTCTAATTTATACAATTAAATCATAATTTTTACGAGGCAATGTGAATTCCATTTATCTGAGAACGAGCGCAGGGTTTGTTTCTATATAATTATTAAAAATTTCCAACTATTAAAATTAAGAAATATACATACAATATATAAAATAATTTGATTTAAAATTTACAATAAAACAAACTAAAACCCAAAGCGGGGAAATAAAATCCCATAAAAAGAAAGGGTTTTTGGGGGATAAAACCCATGTGAGCGAGCTTTCTTATTTGATCAGTTCAACTCTTCTTTTTGAGCTGTTTTCATTTTTAAGTAATTCAACATTATTATTTGGGATTATCGGACTAATTTAAGGCATGTTTAACGTATTTATATAAAACTCAACACATCAAGGTGCCATCGCTCGGGGCCAACCCAGCTGGCAAACCGAGAGCAAGAGCATCTTTCTCTAATCACGACACTAGAGAACCTCTGGGGGCATAGGACTTGGGGTTAAAACTATACAAAACAGAGCTAGTAAATAAAAGTTTACGGGGTTTTTCTCTCAACTTAATTACTCTTCTGTTGAATTAAGAATCTGACGATCGATTAAACGATCAACTCTTATTTACAAGCTCTGTTACAAAACAAATATATAAAGTTGTATAAAAAGAGATATATATATGTATATATGTTTTAAAATATGCATGTGAATTCCAATAACCGTGGCGCACCTACAACATTAAACTCTAGCAACAAAACTAAATATAAATGTATAGAGAAAATAAATTGTAGGAGGAAAAACAACATGTAAAGTCAATAAAATTGTACAACTAAAAGGTGGTCCCATGCAGAAATCAGAAGATATAAGGCTCTTCTGATATCTTAAAGGGATTTTAGTATCTTCAATAAATTTGAAGAATTAATTTAGAATTGGTCTACGCATTACTTAAAGCGTTTTGTTTTGGCAAATCCAAAAATAATAATAGTACATAATGGATCTAACTACGTTTTTCCGTCCAATCAAAGCGTCTGTTGTGGTTGTTGTGTTTGCTGCTGCTGCTGTTGTTGCTGCTGCTGCTGCTGCTGTTGTTGTTGCTGTTGGAAATCAGTCATATTCACCTGATTAATATTGCCTATGATCTGATGACCCTGCAGCGTCTGCACCTGGGCAATGGACAACGGTGTTCCACCACTCTCGCTGCCATCGCCAGACTGCGCCACAAGCTGTTGTTGCTGCTGCTGCTGCTGACCGGCGGCTGCCTGCTGTTGAGCTGCTGCCGCCGCTTGGGCGCTCGTCGTTGCCGTGGTTATGTTGCCGGAGGAGTCAATGATTTGGTGATGTTGTAGTTGCTGTTGCTGCACTTGAACCTGCTGCACCTGTTGCTGTTGTTGCACTTGTCCGCCCGCCGAGCCACTCACTGCCATTGCCTGTTGTTGCTGCTGTTGTTGCTGCTGCTGTTGCTGCTGCTGTTGCTGTTGCTGCTGCTGTTGTTGGGCATCGGGATCCTTTTTAACTTGCACACCCTGCAACGTATGCAAGGACTGCACAGCTTGCACCTGGGGTACCCCACCACTGGAGCTTAGGGTACCGCCACCACCAGATCCCGAAGCGCTAGATCCATTGCCCGACTTCTTGCCGCTGGGTGCTGCAAGGAAGGAAATTTGCTGGTGAGTCAAGATGCCGCAGGAAGGGCCAAAACTAGGCAAAGGTAAAGTATAGATAGTACAAAAAGAGGCTGAGAGGACGACACTACTACGGCAACGTTGCAGGCCCAAAAAGTAGAAACAACAAGGCGACCTTCAAGGAGACTACAACAAGTGAGAGAATGTGAAGATGTGTGTTCGAAGAGGTAGATATAATCATGAAAAAGTGTGACAATGAAAACACAAAATAAAACAAAAGACAAAACAATTGTTAATAAAAATAAACAGAAACAAAAGAGAGTTAAAAATAAAGGAGTTAAAAAGATTACATATAAATTAACAAAACTAAATTTTTTTAAAGATAACATTAGTAAAGAACAAATTCAATCTTTAGAAGTTATGGAATTATTCCGAAACATTCAATCAACTGACATGCGCTTTTAATTCAACTTCCGCAAGATTTGTTTTGAAACAAAACAACTCTTTCGTTCGAAGAATTAACAACGCATTCAGGATGCAACTTCATCGATGAAGAAATGTCAGTAACAAGTTAGTAGCTTTGGAATTCAATCCGCCAACAACAACAGTATTTTCTTGCAACAAAGAGAAACGATAAACGATAATGAGAACAGCCAATTGCAACAAATTATAGAGTTCGTGCCACAGGCAGAGATTAATTTGGGTTTTTGGTTTGTTTTTGTTTGGTTATATAAAAAAATATATAATATTTTATTAATTAAACAATTTGTAATATAATATTTAAAATAGAGAAACTTAAACTGATTGCGATCCTCGATTGTAATTGTACAGTTATTAATTTTTTACAACAATTATTTGCGACACTAATTCGATTATTAAGTAAAATTATTAGTCGAGTATTTATTTACGTGGAGATATTATTTGCCTTTTTGGGGATTCTCTTTCTCTGTCTCTTTCTATGCAAGAAAATACTGCATAAGAAAATTAGATGTCATGTTATTTTATGTGAAAAAAGCACTCTACTATCGGAAATCGTTTTGCAAATTAAAAAAACTTACGCAGCAATTAGGTATGTGGAAAAATTAAAAATGATACGGAGGGAAATGAACACAAATCATTCGGATCAGATCACGGGGATTTTGTTTGTTATTTACATATCGTTTCAGTGTGTGTGAGTTTGTTTGTGTTATGCAGATGCGTGTGTGTGGTGTGTTGGAAATGCGAATGATTGGTGTCGTTGTTGGTGCGTTGGAATGATTGAAGGCTCGGGCAGGAGGCGATGTTGCTGTTGCTGTTGATGCTTCTGCTTATCCTCCTACTGGTATTGCTATTGCTGTTGCTGAGGAAAGACGACCTGATCGCCGACAATGTGTATGACGTTCTGCATTCCCTGTTGCTGTTGTCCCTGCTGCCCAGCACCGCCTCCGCCCTCGTGTTTGATGTATGTCTGGCCGCCACCCGCTAACGTTGCCGTGGTCATGTGCTGCTGATGCTGTTGTTGCATTTGCTGCTGTTGCTGGGGCAGGACCTGCTGTTGGAGTCCCTGCGTTCCTGATATCACTCTCGTTGGCGTTGTGCCAGACGATGCTCCGCCAGCTGATCCCGCTCCTGCAGCTCCTCCTCCGCCTCCTCCTTCACTGCCCACCGTAGTGTCGCCCTCCTCCGTTGTGGTGTTTAGCTCCATACTGGTGTCTAAGGTGGTATCATTACCGGACTTACTTTTCTTTTCCTTTTTGACTCCCGGCTTGGCAAAGTGCCGCAGCTCAAGATGTCTTCGCAAGTTCCTAGATTGCCGAATGACAGCATAGCAAATGGGGCAAGTAGCTGGTTGTTCCGATTGTGATCGCGACCGTGGTTCTAGGAGGGGGAAAAACACGAATTCAATAATGGAAAAATGTATTTCAAGACTTTGTGCAAAACTCACTTTCCGTTCCAGGCGGATGCTTAGTTCGTTTTGCCTTGGGTGTAGATGTGGTGCCGCTGGTTGTGCCACCGCCGGATGGGCCTGTAGTTCCTTGTGCCGTTGTTATCTCGCCCGTGGCAGCATTGGCTGACGTTACCGGTATCATATTATTGGGGTCCATGGTCACAATTGTCTCCACCTTTTGTCCTTCGCTCTTGATGATCGGTGTTGACGACATTAGTTGGCCTTCGGCTCCGTTTTCACCTAGAACCTGTTGTACTGATCCCTGTGCCGAGCCGTGCGAAGAGGTCGGTGTGCCCATAATCGTATCCATTCCGTCAACTTTGCTGATTTTCGGTGCCGTTGCTATTGATAAGAAGGAATTGGTTCAATTCAAGAGCAAAATATAAATTATAGCAGCTTTTTTTTTATTGATTTTGGGCTTTAACTTACGTGACATTTTCTTAACACGTGGCTTCCGTTTTCGTGCTGGGAGGAATGCCTGAATCACTGCCTGGTCATGCTTAGCCGCGTCCGTTGTCACAATCGTTTGCTGTTGTCCTGCTGCATTGGTCTGGGTCGTTGCCTGTAGAATCTGTCCCTGGTGATGGATATCCTCCACCACTTGGGCATGTACCGTTTGTTGGGGAGCCGTGGCAATTGTGGCAATCAGTTGGTCCTGGTCATGGTGTTGCGGAATCATATGCTGAAGTTGTATCGAGTGCGTGGTGTAGTCATCCTTGGTCACTGTCTGCGGTGCCAGTCCCTGGATATTGAGGCACTGGGCAGCCTGCAGTAGCGACGGGAGCTGGGCATGGTCAACGCTCACCTCGCCGCGGTAGACAAACTCCAGCAATGCCTCCAAATCGTTGGCATTTACGCCAGCCAACATCACAACTGGGTGCTTGCATGGTGTGTTCTATAATTAAAATAAAGGGACGAATAATTAGTAATAATATAAAAAAAATAATATAAGTCCCAATAATTAAATATACTCCCATAACATTACATCTTCCTTTTGTTTTGAATCTAAGCAACTTCTCTCCTCAATCCGCACCGCTTACATCTCAATCCTAGAGAGCGTCGTATTGGCAAACAAACAACAAATAAAAACAAAACTGAGAAGAGGCGGCACGTCGTCCGTTCACCAAACCAAATAAAAACAAAAACAAACCAAGTCGGAGATGGAGACAGAGATGGAAATGGAAACTCACCGCCGCTCACACGCTCACACGCACACAAGTGCCAAGCGGCAGCGACCGGCTTTTACTTTTCGCGCTCTGCACATTCTGCAGCAGGATTGGCGGAGATTTCGAGGAGAGATGCTCAAAAAAAAAAGAAAACAGAGCACAGCTCGAGAAAGAAAGAGCACTCACACTTACTCACTAGTACCGCTCAGCCAGTTCTCACGCTCCCGCTCCCGCTTCCACTCTCACTCCCTCTCTTGGACATTTAATTAGTAAGCGCTGCTCAGAGTTGTAGAACAACAAACCATCCAACCACCTTCTTCTTCTTCCTCTTAATAAAGACCAATGCCAATCTCTTCAAATGTCATTTACCACTCCTCCCCATTTTCCTACTCCTCTCACTGCGCTCTTTGAACTCTGTAGCTCACACTCCCTTCACTGTCTCGCTCATCGATTTTTCTGTGAGTTGCATTCTGAGTCTCGTGTCTCGCGTCTGTGTATGCGTGGGGGAGATGGATTGGGGGTGGGGTTGGAGGAAGCGGAAGAGGGAGCGGGAGCAACCAAGAGCGACCGCCATGTGTTTTGCGTGCGTGTGTGAGTGTAACGAGATCAGTACATCTTGTACATTTCGGACTCTTGCAGAGTTCACAGCCGCATTTTTTCTTTTCTGTTTTTGACATTTTCCCCACCGCCGACTCTGAGCGGCGTTTTTAAAAATTACGCTCTGTTTACTTTTTTCAGCACCAGAGAGGAGAGGACAGAAGAGGAGCGGAAAGGAGAGCTAGAGAAGAGAAGAGTCGCGTCGCCGGCGTCACATCAGGTGTTTTTATTTCGCTGGCCGCGCTCTGTTTTGGTCATCTCGATAAAAACCACGCAATAGGAACGGTGTATACAATATCCGAATCGGATAGATATTCGGTTTGTTGTGAATTTTTAAGGCATCCAAGAGAAACGTAAAAACAACGTGCAATTGCACATTAATGCTGAATAAAAACTAAAAGTACAGTATTGCAAATATGCCCCAGAGTATAAGTAAAAAAAAATAGCAAGCTCCACCGAAAAGTTTTCCCTTCCTGATATGAAATACTTCAAATACAAGTACAGGGAGAAACCAATAAAATGAGCACATTTTTGGAAATTATAAAATGGTGACCTTGTCACCTGTGGATCAGTATTTCACTTGAAATATGTATATTCATCTGAGAAATATTTTTAAAATTTTACCGAGTTATAATGAACTTCCAAGTGTTGGGGATTCTCCCATACCCAGTTTCAACTGTACAGTTCTGCCAGCTAAAAGAGGTCGCGCTCGTGTGCACCCAGAAGCAAGAACGGAAAGCGAGGAAAAAGCTCCAACAAAGCAGCAGCAACAACGGACTCCGCGCTGCTTTTATGGCGCTCTCGTTTGCGCTCGCTCTAACACATGCCAACGGAAAGTTGGCGCTGCGCAGCTTTTGCTTCTCACCCTTTTCTTCCCCCCAGCCACCCATCCAATTGGTTCTCTGCTTCTCTCGCTCTCTCACTCCCCATCTGCGCTCTGCTATTATGCTCTGCTCCACCTCTCACTCTCTGTCTCTCTCTCCCTCTCGCCAGCTACACTTTTGTGAAATTTTACAAGAACAAAAACAGCAGTATTTTTGATAAGAGGTGGCCAGAAGAGGGGGAGGTGGTGCCAACTCATTCAACTCAATTGACAGTGGAAAACTTGTACGGAAATCTCTAGACAACTTTTGGAGCGGAGCGTAAATCTCCGAGATATTCGTGTGCGAGTGTGCGTCTGTGTGTCCAAGTTTCTCTGCGCTCCACACATTAACCTATTTCTGCGATTGGATTTCTCTGTTTACAAACTGTACAGTGAACGCCACGTTTGAGGTTATGCACGTCAGCGCCACTCTCTGTTTTAACCTTTTCGCAAAATACATTTCTAACACTCACCTTGAGCAAGTCCAGGAGGAAGGGGGAGGCGGCACAGAGGACTATCTTGTGGGCGGGAAAACTCCGCCCGCCGGCCGCCAGCGTGCAATCGACGAGGTCGCCATGGCAGCGCAACAATTGGATGGCCGACACGAGACTGGTGCCGTAATCGCCCCAGGTGAGCGAATACAGCGAGTTCATTGGCAGCGACATTAGGGCCGTCGCGTCCAAGTCCAACAATTGTTGTTCCTCTCCAGCGTTGCTAGCGTATTCGTTGCTATTTGTCTCCAACACGACGACGTTTTTATTACACGGGTCTGGGGATAAATTCTCTCTTCCAAGTCGGGATTTTGCAAAAATCCCGTCTGCTCCTCCTCCTGATGCTGCTTTTGCTTTTGCTCCTGCTGCTTCTTCCCTCTTCGCGCGCTGCTTTCACAAACTGAAATGGTGTGCAAAAGAGAACAAGAGTTAGCTGGCTCGTACTCGTGTGCTCTCGCTCTCTCGCCTGTTCTCCCGCTCTCTACCCCTCACGGTTGGGGTCAGAGCGAGACAACACTGCTGCTACTGCTCACAGGAATTTTGTTGTTGGGGGGGCAGCAGCTAAAAAACTTTTTGTTTCAAAATTTGTTGCTGGGAAAAATCACACAAAAATAGCGCGCCAACTGAAATACATTTAAAAACGCAACAGCAGCCACACACACAAACACGTAGGGCACAAACACAGCCGCAGCCGCATATTTAATACACAATTGTACAGTCAAGCCATGAGACACGCATTTCGTTTCTTTTTTTCTCCTTTTTTTGGCCCCACTCGCTCAGTTCTTGATTGTTTTATAATCTTGGCCCTCTTGGTAGCGCTTTTTATTTTGTTATTGTTTTCCCGCTCGCGGAGCGCACTTTTTGTATGATTTTGGTGTGTGAAATTATCTTCTCACCGGAGCGCAAAAGAAAATTTTACTGCTGTGGGTGATTTCCCTTCTCTTTCTCTTGGTGCTCGCCAACTCGCTCGCTGGTTTCTCCTGCTGTCTGCTGTCCGCTCGCCAACGTTGAAAAACTCGAACTGAGACCCAGGCAGAGCTCTTTTGAGAAAATCGCTTCGATCGAATTACGCTGCCTCTGCTGCTGCCAGCGCGGCGGGTTTTCGTTTCGGTCTCTATACGGGGGAGAAAATATTTCTGGTCATGCGCTCAGCTTCATACACACGCGCGCTTGGTGGTGTGTCGCCGTGTCGGTGTGGTGGTTGCTTGGCCGTATTTGTGTATCTGTGAGAGCAGTGGGCTGGCAACGCTCTTTGAAGTACAGTTGTCGAAAGGCATTGCCAGATGAAGCGGATTTAAGTGAGACGTTGTTCGTGGAAGAAGAGTATTTTCAGGCAAGCGGCAGAGGGAGAGGGAGAGGAGAGAAAGACAAGCAAGACGATAGATAGTAAACAAAACTATAAAAGGTGGTAAATATTGAATAATGGAAATATTCTGGTCTGAAAACGCAATCCCAAAACACATGTGGCCATCGCGGCACAACTTCTGCTTAAATACGGCGATAAGAAAGGTCTATGGGGTTCGGGTCCAGGTTCCAAAACTATTTGGATTCGGGTGCAAAATACATGAAACTACAAAACCTTTTTCAAATTTTAATTTTGTATTAACTTTAGGCAGTAGAACAATAAGTTTTTAAGGTTTTTTTTGGGTCGACTAGGCAGCTCCACAGACAGATACTGATATTATGTCAAAAACTTAAATAATTTGCCAAAAATTTAATAATAATTTAATATAGCCAAAAAAGAAAAAGATTATTTGTTTTTATTGAAATCGTAAATATTACAATCTATAGAATTGCTTGAAAATAAAATACTTTTAGATCTGGGTACAAACTACGAAGTTTGGGGGTATTTAAAAACTATTTTGAACAATAATGCTACTTGAATAATGCCAAAAACGTTAATAATTTAGTAATAATTCATTATAGGCAACAAACAGGATTGTTTGTTTTTATTTAAAACACGAAATACACCAAGAAGAAGTTTGGGGATACTTAAAACCAATGCCACAAACTTAAATTATTTTTCCAATAAATTAGTAATAATTTAATATACGCAAGAAACTGGATCGTTTGTTTTTATTTAAATCGTTAATATCGAAAACTTTAGATCGCTGTAAAACGAAATACATACATAAGGAACATAAAACAAACAATAGTAATTCCTAGAAATGTTAATATGTTTAAACATTTTATGAAAATCATCCAAAGTCTAATTAGTCAAATAACTAATAAATTTCGATGAAGGGGATAAACCGGTTAAATTCACAAAGTCATCGAGTATCCATAAGTGTCATGTGCCACCTAAGGGTTACGGCAACCAAATGAAATAGAGATATTTATCCAACCTGCGAATTGGTCTACTCTTTCTTCGCTCTTTGGTTTTGATATCAACAGATCCTGTAAACAATAACAAGAACTGGGAGAAAAGCCGGCTCGCTCTTGGACCTACTACTCCCGCTCTACATGCTCTTTTCTCCGCTCCTCTCTCCTCGCCAAACCATCCAATCACCTGTTACTTTTGACACATCTCAGAGACAAGAGACTCTGACCTATTCTCGCATTCTCATACGGCGTATGCAGATCAAGTCCCGCTTAAGAGCGGAGACCAGAGACTGCTCCGGAGTCCGGAGGCCCGTGATAGGGGAGAGTAGTGTGGATAGGAGTCCAGGAGAGGAGCGGAGAGGAGAGAGTTCTATCCAACGCTCAGAGAAGTGGCAAGGTAAAATCAGTGAGCGGCATGCATGCGAGTGTCCAAAAAAATAAACAACAACGCCAATTCAAGATTACAATTTTCTCTGTTTTGATGCTGGGACCATGAGAAAGGCCGTTCGAAAGGCCCCTTTAAAGTTCCAATCAGCATTAAAGCAGTGAGCGTATTTCGCAGCTGGCAATGCTAGCCCACGGAGCATGGCAGGGAGAGGGAGAGCACAAGAGGCAGAGCGAGGGGTGGTGGAGCACGATATGGGTGCGAGAGGGAGAGGAATATCAGGAGGCAGAGGCATGAGCGCGAACAGAGCACAGTAGGACAAAATAACCGCAATAACAAAGAGTGAGACAATAATAAAGGAAACAAGCAAGCCTACGATAAATAAATAAATACATATGTACTTTCAAAAGGAACAAATTCAAGCTAAACTGTTAAAAGGCCCTATTTATAATCTGATTGGAAAGTTCAGCATTAATACATGATTTTAAGTGAAAAGAATTCAATACAACTTTTTACACGAACCAAGCTTATTTGTCCCACTGTACGGACTGAAATTCGAACGGCATGACACGACTTTTGCCTGGCCTTCCCCACCGCGCCTTATCGCAGTTGTTGCTTCTATTTAAATAAAATAAAAGCAAAAACAACAACGAAAAAACTGAATATACTTGAAACGAACGCAAAACATGAAGAATTCAGCACAAATTTGTTGAAAACAAATACGCAAATGTGTGCGCCGTTTTGCCTATCGTTTTTGTAGTTTGCCCGCTGGTTTTGTGTGCATGTGTGCACGCCTACTTGTGTTGGTATTGTGGTGGGGCCATAAAATTATAACCTCATTTTGTATCACTAATTAATTGAACAAAACTTTATTATTAAGTCCCGGAACTCAGAATTGGAACTATGGAACCAAACAACTCATGTTGAATGTCGTGGTCGAAATAAACCGATTTTAGCATGTGTACTGGCCACAATTTCCAACTGTGAGTGGGAGAAATTGTTGTTGCTGCTCCCCGGCTCTGCTCTGAGCGAGCCAGAGAAACGCGGAGAGGAGAGGCCGTCATCCAGAGAGAAGAGGAGATGGTGGAAAATGGGTGCCAAGTGGCGCTGTGTCTCTGTTATTGTATCCAATTTCATAAGAAAAAAAAATTAATTCGCTTCAGCGCCAAAAACAAAACTCTCATGCTCTTACTCTCTTCTAAACTTATAACAAATACCTATACCAATTACTATAAAACTAAATTAATTATCCTTGATTTTTAATATGCGGTTGCCCTTGGTTGAATCATAAATGCATAGATTATTAAACCACAAATTTAATTAAGTAATCAAACTGTTTACTCTACCGATTTGAATACTTCTCAAGAGCTTTAAGGCTTCAAAAAAGTTTTTACAGATACCGATGCAGTGGGCACCCAATATAGCAAACTAATACAAATTTTTAGAAGATTATATTTTATACTTTAAGATAAGGAAATCTTTAGGGAAATATTTCATTATTTTATTTTTGTCAAGCCTATAATTAACTTCCCAACTATTAAATAAATTGAAACTCAACATATTTACAAAAATCCTAACAATTAATAACATTGCAAAACTAATTTTAAAACAACATTTAGAGTATCTGAGTATTAGAGTATTACTTACTTGCCATTGTGTGATTCCTCACTTGCTAGGATTGCACCAGGACACCGTTTGGTATTGAATTTCCTTGCTATCTTCGCTCTCATAAGCAAAAACACAGCTTTTGTTGACAATCACGGATAATCGCACCTTTGTCACTAGTTCCAGCGGTTTAATAACAGGTGTATCCTGCACAATAACAATGTGCGAGGCATGATATATAAGGGGATCCCCGGGATAAACCAGAAAGTCTGCTCCAAAGGCATCACCAGAGGTCACAAACTTTCCTTTCTTCCAAAGATCTTTGAATATTCTATACTTAAGGGAGTTCAGGTCCACCAGGGGTTCGGAGATAAGTTCCCCAGCTGCAAGTACGATTACAGAATGGATTTAGGGTTATATTATTATGAAATTTCGATTGATTATATATACAATGTTCTTTTAAATGTTCACAGGTCAGCTCCACCAAGGCATTTTGACGATCAAACTTGAAGTTATCCGACATTTCTTTCAGTACATCTTCGGCGGTTAAAGAAGCAGCTGCAAAATAAAAGATAAGATATAAATAATCATAGATGAGGGTAATGTATTCACCTTTGTCGTTGTTTCCTTGCTTCAACAACTTGTTGCGTTTCCCTGTCAGTATTTTATCCATATATCTCTCGGTTTCCCGAAGCTTTTCCTTCTTGAGGCTAGCCTCTTGTGACTCTAAACGTGACTCAAAATCTGCCTGAAATTCCTGCAGTTTTTCTGGTGTGGGTGGAGCCTTTAAGGCCTGAGATTTATCCACCAACTGGGCTATGTGCTCATCCAAAAGCAATTGTGTTTCGAATTTGGTCAGTTCCACGGGGAGAGCTAAAAGATTTACGTTTATAAGTTAATAGATACATCATTCAAAATACTCCTAGGGTTTTATTTCATTATTTAAAAAAGATATCTGGATTATCAGAAAAAACTCACTCGACTGATTGGGACTCCAGCCCTTGGTATTCGCCGTGCCCACAGGAGCACCCATTACTCGGTGTTTGCTACGCAGTTCCATGTAATCTAACCGAGAGATATTTATTTATATGGTTTATTGATTATATTTAGTAGTAAAAAAGCTTACCGTTTACATTGAAAACGAAACCGGTGCCATTTAGTAGAGTTAAAATCATTTTTTCGCTAAATATCTTTTGTTGTTTTAATGCGGCCGCTGTCAAAGTGAGACCAGAGGTTTGTACTAAAAAATACCATTAAAATAATACACGCCAAACAGTATATTTGTGAGCGCCACTTTCGAACTGTAAGGCATTGCTCAACACTGTTTCATCGGATGCTATCGATTGCATTGCAACATCGATGTTTTCGACCAGCCTGTTGTTGTTTTTGCTCGGGGCGTTTAAACTATTTCCCCTCCCGTCGCTGTATATAAGAAATTAAACAATCGCGAGTGCTGCTGCAATAATTTACACCGCCTTTACATAACGCGCAAAGATGTAACAAGAGCCAGGCGTGGAGAAAAGCGCGTGCGAAACGTATGGCGAAAAACCGTGGCAGCAGCAGCACGAAAACGGGGCGAAGAGGCGACCACCAACAAAAAAAAAACGGCGTACAAAATCCATAAATGGATAAATAACCGAAGACGGCGAGTCTACGTTCAATCTGTGTTCCTATTTAGTGCTTATTAATTTTGCAATTACCGAGCTGCAATTGAGTGTGAGTTAAATACAAGCCAACTGCGCTCGTGTGCGTTTTGGCATGCCCCCCCTGCCCTTCCCTTTTTGTAGTGTGCGTGCGTGGGTGCGAACTTTTGGGTGTTGTTGTTTATTTACCCATTTAGCTATTGCCAGAAGAATAATTGTTTACTTTCGCCCCGCGTTTGCTAAACGGAGTGTCAAGATTGAGTTCCCAACCCGAAAGGCATTGTTTAGGTTCGCACATATTTAAACAAAATCGATCGCTGATCTGGAATAGCATATACCGTGGATAAAACTGCATACAGACATATATAGACCTTGAGACCTGGGCAGCTCGTTATAATTAACCAATTAAAACCCTAGTTTTCCCACTAGAGCCCTAATTTTCCCATCACTCATTAAATATGGAAGCTAATTAATTAACATATTCCATTAAAGTCTTTAGTGCTAAGGCACGATCCCATTGGAATTCCTAAAGGTCAGCCCTAATCATTGCTTAGGGAAATCTCTTGATTATTCCCACAACCACAACACTAATCTCATGCAAAACATTCCTAAACGAGCTGCTTTTTCCTCAATTTTCCAGAGTCCCACCGATCGAACGCAGGCGGCGGCGGCTTTGGCATCGGCAAGGAGGCGCAGGAGGAGAACAAAGGCTTCCTGGGGGTCTCTTGGCCATGTAAGTCCCTAAGTCAACTACACTGACTGCCATCATCGTCTTGAGTGCACAGTATATAACAATTATTATTATACCATCCCAATCCATACCCACGGCCAGGTCATGTGGCGAGAACTGCGACAGCTGCTGCCACCATCATCACCATCACCACCACCGACCACCGACGACGACGTCGACGTTGTTAATCCAACTCGGGTAAGGCAGGGCAACACAAGGCAAGGCAAGGCGGCCACAAAGAGACCGTTAAACGGTGCGACCTTCAGAGAGAGTCCCACCCCGAAATACTTGAAAGAAAAGTACATTCCAAAAAACATTTGTATATCAAATTCGTAGCTCATTATGGCTTAATTAGAAAACAATTGTTTGAAATTGTTTGCCATCTGCTGTGCAGTATTATTTTCTTTTGATAAATGCTTAAAAAAGTATTTGGAAAGGTGTTAAATTTTTGTTATATTTTTAATTTTTCCATGTGTATCGACTATAAAAATTCCTTGTTTCTGTTATTGCAGCGCGTGCATTAGTCATAGGAGGAATGAGGATGACAGCCGGCCCAAGGGAACGGCGCCAGCACAACAACGAACCACCAGAGACCGAAACGGAAACAGAACCAGAACCAAGAGCCAACCGTGTGGCGGTAGCTAAGCAGTTAGCTTAATTAAATCTAATAGCCAGAGAAGCGGCGGTAAACCATGTTCAAGATTAGGCAGCGGAACTGTATGCTAATAGTGACGGCCCTGGTGCTGGCGCCCTGCATAGTGATCCTGATGGTGATGGGGCCGGAGCTATCCACCGAACAATCGCTGACCCAGCGTCTGGCCGAGTGCCATATGCGGTTGCAGTATCTAGAGTCCATGTATCGTGCCCGGCAGGAGGATGTGTCGCTGCTCTCCCAGTACCTGGGACAGATTCAAATCGTTAGTAGGAATGTGACCGGAGCAAATGCGCCACCATCACCGCCACCACCGCCTCTGCCTGTGATCAATCTGCTCGATGGCCTGAGTCCTGAGGCAAGGCAGCTGCTGAAGAATGCCTCGCACATCAGTAGAGGAGGGAGTGGAGCGAATGGTTCACTGGTTCATGGTCAGAATATTCGTCTCCCGAATGCCTATCACTTTCTACCGCATCTACTGGATGATGCTGGCTCCCTGCGACCGGCCTATTTGCAGAGCAAAGGTCGTTCTGATGTCAGCATCGTGCTGGGAGTTCCCACAGTGCGAAGGGAGAAGCAGTCGTATCTCCTTGGCACCCTCCACAATCTCATCGAGAACATGAACGACGAGGAGCAGAACGAGACGCTGATCATTGTGTATATCGGGGAAACGGATCTGGAGGCGGTGCAGCTGATTGCCCGACAAATTGAGGCTAGTTTTGAGCAGTATTTGGATAGCGGACTGATTGATATCATAGCGCCGGCGCCTAGTTATTATCCAAACTTTGAGCGGCTTCGCATCACTCTGAACGATCCCCTGGAGCGCGTCAAGTGGCGCAGCAAACAGAACCTGGACTTTGCCTACCTAATGGCCTATGCCCACTCGAAGGGCACCTTTTACGTTCAGCTGGAGGACGACATACTGACCAAGCGACAGTTTATCACCACAATGAAGAAATTCGCTTTGATCAAGAGCGCACTCACGAAGCCCGATCAGCCGGCGTGGTTCGTCTTGGACTTTTGCCAACTCGGCTTCATTGGCAAGATGTTCAAGAGTGCGGAGCTGCCCTATTTGATCACTTACTTCCAGATGTTTTACAATGACAAGCCCGTGGACTGGCTGCTCACCTACTTTATCGAGTCGAAAGTGTGCCGCACGGACAAGGATCAGAAGCATTGCAATCAGGAGAAGGCCAAGTATTGGCAGCACTTCCGCAAGTCCCTGTTCCAGCACATTGGCACCAGTTCATCGCTGAAGGGCAAGGTGCAAAAGCTAAAGGATAAGCAATTTGGCAGCAAGGTGCCGCAGTATTATGCTCACACTCATAATCCGCCTGCCTTGGTCAAGTCCAACATTGCGCCGTACAAGAACTATATTCTGAAGCGGGCTTATCGCGGTGAATCGTATTTCTGGGGCCTGCTGCCTCAACCCGGTGATCTTGTCCAGATCATATTCGAACGACCCACGCAACTGCGACGCTATCTCTTCCGCAGCGGCAACTCGGAGCATCCATCGGATAGATTCTACAACACCACCGTGGAGCTTCTGCCAGCGGATACGCTCAGTGAGAACTCGTCCGTGTGGAGTAATTTCAATACCACCACGGATGGCTATCTGGTGGTCGGTGCCTTCGATAGCTTGGGCGTTGCCGAGGGTCAGCTGGATGCGAAGATTGGTGCCATCAAGGAGTTGCGTTTGCATGTGCACAGCGACAGCGAAAATTGGGCCCTGCTCAGCGAGATTGAACTGCAGGAATGGGGCAGTGATCCCAAGTCGGAGGTGAATGCAGCGAAGCCAAGATTTGTGGCGGGCAGCTGATTGCTACATCGCCATCGGCAGCGGCAGGAGGACCTCTGGGAGGATTAGAAAGCAGAGGAAGGAGTTAACAACAAATCGCTGATCGAGTCCCTTTCCCATCCACAATTTGTCTATATATCTGTCTAGGAGTTAGGTCGATTTTGTGGACTGAGAATCGTTTTGGGAGCAGAAAGTATTATTGAAATGTAAAAACATAATTTACAGATAAGGATAAAAGTGTTGTTACTAGTATCCAGGCTTCCCAACTGGTAATTCTAAGGCCTTTCTTTCCTTTTTAAATCTATGAGTTCAGAATTTTCTCTACACTTTTAAAATACTTTCCGCTCTCACAAAGATTTCTCAATGTTTTTTTGCAGTCAAACCCAAAATCGATCTATATAACCCAATGTACTGTACACATCTGTATGTATATTTTTTGAATGATGCTTTTTACACCCCCCTCTCGATTATATATCTAAATGTGTAAATAATCTCCCAGAAAACTCTCTAAATCAATCTCTCTAACCTAAACTGTAAGTGATCCTAGGACTATATGCTTGGCTCCTGACTAAAATCAGATGAGAAAATTATTACCAGAACCAAATTTGTTAAGGTTTCTTTAACTGTTGAGTAAACTTTGTTAGTCAGCAGCCAAGCTAAGCTCTCATAAATCCCTGTGTATCATTCATTGATATTGTTTGGTTCAAGTTATATGTTATTCGAATATTATATATATATATTAACTTCTGCTTTAGTTTGTTAAGTGTTAAACTCTTTTTATATTGGCAGCTGAACAACAAAACGCACATTCCAATGATTATTTTGTTTTCCTTTTGCTGAATCTTCACAAAGAATCTCCATCTCGATTTATATCTTTAATGAAAATGTTTAAGTTTAGACTATGTATTAATTGGTTCAAGTATTCCTCTCTACACTTTAATAATTTATCTTAATTTAGTTCAGTTCATCCAGTTCTATATATCACTACCATATGTCCTTGAAGCCATAACATAAATATAAAGACCCTTTAATAACAAGATGCTTAACGCATAAATTAAAGGGTCTTTGATACATAAATACCATATTAAACATATGCAAATGGATTTTTAGCATTGTTGCTTTTTTACTGTGATTTGTTGTTAATAGTTTTTTGCCTAAAGAACAATGAATGAACTAAATAATATATATACGCAAAGCTGATTAGCAAAATTGTCTAACGAAATTCCAAAAAAAAGAACACTTTTTTATATACAAAAAACACACACCGAAAATTAAATAATAATTGGTTTAACTAATTGGAAACGCCAAATTTTTTATGATAGACTATAAAAATAAAACGAAACTGAAGAACAAAGAAACGAAGAATGATAAATGTTTAAAAACTTGGTTCCTGTTGAGTAACGAGAATTGTAATGTGTATATATAGTGGCATATCTTTGGTTCTAGCTATCGAAATATATATTTAAAATTAATTGTAATTCATTTTGTGTTTAGATGCCGCTATATACATATATATAAAGGTAGACTGCTTTCAAATCAACTGAACATTAATTAAACAAATGTTTTGCATATATGTATATATATATTTTTATATATATGTATCCCTGTGTTATACGTGTGCAACAATAATTTATCGCTGCTCTCTCCATAAAGCAAAAAACATCACACTCACTCATTTTTGGCCAAATTACGAACAATTATTAGCAAGCAACAATAATAGTTGATAGTTTAAAATCGAAACAACTGAATTATACATTAAATATAGCTGGCAAATTAATAGGCTTCCTACCACCACAACCACTCCACATCCAAATTGTAGCCGAAAGTTATTACAAATTATTTTTACAATATTCATAAGCCGTTGTTGGTTGGAAGAAAACTAAAAAAAAGAAACTTAATCGAAATCAAACAAAGAAAAAATACATATATATATATATGCGTGTAATGTGTGTGTATAAGCTTAATAAATAATTCCAAAATATTTGAATTTCATAGGTAATTTTATTATCCAAAACTAAAGCGCATAAAATGAGCTTATGGCCCAAATATAGACCGGAAACCAATCTAAACTTGGCCTTCCAGTGCCATCTTTCGCCCAAAGGAAGCTACGAAACCAGGTGAGAGTATCCTCTGAATCCTCTTTTATATAGTAAAACATGTACTTGTCAGCCTTGTCTTTCTCCTCTGAAGTTAGGGTGTGGCTCATAAGAAAGCCACAGAGTGGGTTCAATGTGGCGTTCATATCCAAGTCGGACAACTTCTCCACCAGCTCCACACTAAACTCGGGTAGAGTCTTTTCTGCTTCCTTGTGATTTCTGATGCGAATCTCCTTCCCTTTGTTTTGATTGCTTATCAAGTTCTCCATCATCTTGGGCATCTGTGGCATGTACATCCAAATGAAGGTTTCCCCGGGTTGCAGGTTGAGATTCTGTCGTAGAAGGGAGTTGTGATGGGAGGCAACCAGGTCGAGGGATTGATGAAGATGTGGCAAACGCTGCTTTACCACATTGTGTTGCTGCGACTTCTGCTTCAGTGAAGATTGCTTGCCCATATGCTGGAACTGTGAGTGCTCCACCTGGATTATCCTCGACTCCACAATCCGCTCACAGTCCGGTTCCGAGATACTATCCCATCGGCAACTCTGCAGGGTTACAAAGCTCTGGAGCAGCGATTCGATGGATTGGTGGTCACAAAACAGCTGCAGATGGGTGATAAAGGACTGAAGAACCGAACTGGGAAACAGCTTTCCCACGAAGCCCAAGTCAGAGAAGCTCATGGCAATCCAATCCAGTTGATGATCAAAGCGGAAGAGGCCATGCATAAGAGCCGACTTCTCTATATAGTTCAGAAATCCCTCGTTGGGTATTATATCATCCTCCAGCTGTAGGTAGTAAGAACCCTTCGATTGGGCATAGGACATTAGGTATATGTAGTCCAAGTTTTGTTTTGTCCTCCAGCGAACTCTCTGTGGATCATCTTGCATAGTGGTGTGGAGTTCCGTAAAGTTGGGATAGTAGTGAAGTTGTGGAGCAATCACATCGATGAGGCCTGATTTCAAATACTCGCCGTGTTTCACTCTTAATTCCTTGACTATCAACTTGCCGAAATGGAGGCTAGTCTCGCCCACATAGATCACAATTAAGCAAATTTTTCGCTGTTCTGGAGTCATTCTTTGGATCAAATTGTCAATGGTATCCAGCACATAACTCCTTTTGGGCCTCGCCACAGTGGGCACTCCAATTACGAACATTACATCCTTACGACCGCCTTTATACAGGAATTGTGGTGTTATATCTGAATTAATCAATGAAGATTGCTTCCAGGCATTGAGCTGCGGCTGAGCGGTAAGGATCTCCGGTTTGGCACTTGTTTCAATCTTCAGATGGTTATGTTTGGGCGTGAGATGGCTGGTTACCGGTAGCACTGGTTCATTTTTAGATACATAAAGGCTCAAAAACGTCAGTGTCAGCAGTAAGTATATGACCACAATGCAGAAAATCAGGCAGGGTGTCCAGTGAATGTTGATGACCTTCATTGTGAAAATGATTTAAATTCTTCCAAAAATGTGTGTTTTCCAGTTGGCAGATATCACTAGGATTACTAGGAGTACAGCTCGATACCTTGAAAGATTGAAAAGAAATGATTTTGTTAATAACAAATTTCGAATACAATATTGTTTCTTTTTTGAAATTTAGTTAAAGGTAAACCCTCTTAATATATTTTATGCATTTTATTAAGTATTATAAATGTTTGACAATAGTATCCAGTAGTGTTCATTGATATAATATATATATAATATACTCGTATAGAGTGGTTTGAAACGCTTGACAAATATCCCACATTAACATCACGATCACGATTCGTTTAGCTTCGAAATACATTTCATATAACAGTTGTTAGAGACAATATTACAGTTACGATATATATGATATAGATTACAAAATGATTTCGATATCCTCACAAATACTTTTCATTTGATTTTCTCTTTAAATTGTTTGCAACAATGTCAGATTTGTAGAAATAGGTTTTTTGCACACAGTTAAATAGTTGTAAATACTCAATAAATCTTTAGTTATCTGCCACAATTGGTTGGTTAAGTTCAGTCAGTTTATTTAAGCTTCCAAAGGGCATCTAATTCGTTCAGCGGATCCTTGGTCTCTTGCTGCTCCTTGGCATTCACTTGCGGTGCCATCTTCATTTGATACGATGTCATTATGCCACCTATAAAGTTATAATGCAATTAAATCTATTTTCGAGTTTGTTAGTTACTCGATTCTTACGCTTATTGAGCACATTATGGGCATTGCAGAGCACTATCTGCATGGACTGCTCGAGGATGGCCGAGTCTCTTAGAGAGTTCTGACGCTGCGCGCAAATTCGCGACCAAACATCAACCAAATCTGGTAAGAAAATATATAAAATATATATTTTAAGGCTTACGAATAAAATCCCCTTACTTATCAGCATAGGTTGCTTGGTCTGAGTGGCTATTTCCGCGCACACTCCAATGGCCACCAGTTCAGAACGCTCTGATCCCGTCAAGCAGTTCATGATGAGCGGCGAATGGGGAGCATTAGCTGCCTTACAACGATGTCGATGGGTCTCCAGGGCATTCTGAGCCACACCCAGAAGTTGGGCAGGTGATCTAAACAAATTATAAATTAGTTATTAATTCGTATTTTAATAAATTCCAAATATTTACCCCTTGGTCCATTGCTTCAGCTGCAGCAGGGATAAATCCAGCACAGCATCTGCTCCGTGCATGGACAACTTCAGTTGATACTCGGTACAGTGGCTAAGTTGCTGAATTTTCACACAGGTCACAGTATAGTCATCATAATGAGTGGTCTGATCCAAGCTTTGTGGCCAAAAGGGATCAAATAGCTGGGGAGGAAAAAAGGGATTTTAGGATTTAGTTTTGTGTAGGAAATAGTAGAAAATATTCATTTATACCCTTAATATATAATACAACTGCCAGAGAAACGGTGGTTAAGTATCTTCCAACATTAGGTAACTATGAACAGTAAGTAAGTATTAGCAGTAAGTAACTCTGAACAGTATGTATCTAAGACCAGTAAGTAACTATGATCAGTAAATATCAATGAACATTAAGTAACTATGAGCAGTAAGTAACTCTAAACAGTAAGTACTTATGACCAGTAAGTAACTATGATCACTGAATATCGATGTCCAGTAAGTATGTATGATCAGTTACTAACTTTGAACACTAATAAACAATGACTTGCAACTTTTGTAACACAACACATATCGGAGACTTGGCCGGTAGAAGGCACTTCGTTCCGGGGATGTTAGAACTAGTTGGGAATCATATGCACGGATGTGCGAGATTTGTTTTGGAACAAATTTAAGCTATTTAAATAAAACTATGGAGTTATTCTTCTATATAATTTGACTAGTATATAAATCGGAGCATGCCGAATCGGTGTACTATATATGTATATACATATACATATATAGCTGACATAGGAACAATCGGACGATTTATAGAACTATGATCAGTAATTAACTATGGGGAGTAATTAACTCTGAACAGTGAGTATCTATGACCAGTAAGTAACTATGATCATTAAGTAACTATGATCATTAAGTTAAGATGATCATTTAGTATCTGTGACCAGTAAGTATCAGTTACTAAATTTGAAAACTAATAAACAATGACTTGCAACTTTTCTAACACAACACATTTTTGAGACTTGGCCGGTAGAAGGCACTTCGTTCCGGAGATGTTATAACTAGTTGGGAATCATATGCACAGATGTGCGAGATTCGTTTTGGAAGAAATTTAAGAGCAAGCTATTTGAATGAAACTATGGAGTTACTCTTCTATATAATTTTCCTATTATATGTCGAAACATGGCGAATCGGTGGACTATATATACATAATATAGTTAGCTTCCGTTCTTGTTTATATTATGATATAGCATATTTTAATTTTCTTCCCTCCAAGACTCCAATTACTAATCAAAACTCACCTCATTCGTGGTATGCAAACAGACCACCGTACGCGACTTCTCCGACCAGATCATGGACCAGAAATCGTTGATGGTATTCGCCTGTGGAGTCTGAGCAATGATAAAGTCCGGGCAGCCTGCACTCAAGTTCTGTTTTGGAATATAATATAAATTAATCAATTATATAATTTATTAAAAATCCCGTAAAGGTATAACCTACCTTCATGTAAGCTGCATTAATGTAATCATCTGTCTGTTTGTCCAGCTTCACTCGAGCATGATCGAAGGGCAAACAATCGAGGGATCGATTCTTCTCGGGAAACAACTTTGCTATGGCTGTGGATCGCTTGCTGGCACTCGCTTCCTTGTCGAGCTTCCGCTGCAACTCATGCCACTTGGCTCCCAGCTGGGTCTTTCCATTCAGCATCTTGACATGAAGATTCTCCAGAAGCTTTTCGTAGCTCTCCACCTCCTTTTGGAAATACTTTGTTGTCTTCTCATCGGTGAATGTTTCGGTTTGGAATGAAAAATTGTTCGGATGGCCATTGGCTCCAGTTGCTGTCTTGGATGGCTGCTTCTCGCTGGCGGAATGTGTAAGGGAAACCGAATCCCAATCAAAGTTCTCCAAAGAACTCAAATCGGAGCAGTTTGAAAGATTGTCCAGGCTGCCAGACCTGGGAGGAGCGACTGGAACGGGATCTGGGCTGGGAGTGATCTCTTCGGGGACTGCTGCTGGGGGAATCTCAGGCGCTGCAGGAGACACACTCTCAACCTGACTGCCTGGCGGTGTGGGCTGCAGTATGGGTTGCGGCAACATAGGTGGAGGCACTGCCACAGAGCAATCAATGTCCAGATCACTTAGCAGATCCACATTACTGCTGGACGTCTTGGGTAGGATAGTCTCTACCTTCGTCTCTGCCTGCGGCTTAGCCGAGGCAGTGGAGGAGGCATAGGGTGGTCCACTGGTGGTTGTCTGGGTGTTGGCAATGCTACTGGCACCGCTCTGCATGTAAATGGATCCCGAGGTTGGATTTGTTGAAGGCAAAGGTGTGGGCTGCAGCTGTGGTTGCGGCTGCTGTTGGTAGCCATAAGGAGTTGTGTAGTAGTTGGACGACTCCGTGGGATTTCCCTCCGTTGCAGTGGGTTCCTGGGCTGGCTGGTTAGCCTTGGTGTGGGACACAATGGGCGACTGTCATTTAAAGTGTAAGATTAGTTTTCAATTCCTCTGAATAAAATAGAATCCTTGTACTTACATCAAATCCGGTTGCGGGATTAGTGCGATTGGCACTCTCCGAGTCTGTGGTTCCAACCGTTTGCTGCTTGCCACTTTGGCTGAATTGGTAGCTCTGAGAGCCCTGGGTTCCCTTCAAAGAGCTGCTATCCTGCTGATAGCCACTGCTGTACTCGTATTTTCCCGTTTGGGGATTGAAGCTGTAGCCGGGATGATTGGAATAGCTGCTGTACGTGGCTGAGGATTGAGCGGGTTGAGCTTGTGATGGAACGGCAGCGGGAGGAACTACAGCTGGTACGGGAGCAGGAATGGAAGATGGTTCAGCAGTCGGAGCAGGAGATAAACCTGCACTGGGATCACTGTACTGTTGTGGATACTGCAGGGATTGACCAGGAGCAGAATTTTGGGGCATCACAGGAGCTGGCTGCGGTGATACTTGGACAGCCTGCGAGGGAAACAGCGATGGCTGTGTTGGATAACCTGTTGCTGCCTGGGGATAACCCTGGGACTGTTGAGGTGTCTGAACTGGAGGGTATCCTGGGACTGCCTGTGGTTGCTGCGGGGTCGGTGGATATCCTGATGGCTGCTGTTGCGTTGTTTGAGACTGGGCATAGGTCGTAGGTTGCTGCTGAGGCGTTGGAGCTTGCGGATAACCGGTGATCTGTTGCTGCTGAGGCGTTGGAGCTTGCGGATAACCGGTGATCTGTTGCTGCGGCGTCTGGGACTGTGGATAACCGGAAGGCTGCTGTTGCTGCGTCTGTGCATGGGGATATCCTGTCGATTGTTGCTGCGGCGTCACAGATTGCGGATAGCCCGTGGATATCTGTTGCGAATTTTGCGATGGAGAATATCCCGGCTGTTGCTGGCCATATCCACCAGGCTGCTGCTGATTCGGAGCAAATCCCATGGGCTGTCCTGTTGGGTAGCCCGTTGATGCCGGTGGATAACCCACTTGCTGTTGATTTTGACCAGCAGGAACTTGGGAGTATGCCTGTCCCGGAAAGCCTGCTCCTGCCGTTCCTTGATAGGTGTTCACCACATATGGAGCCTGGAGGGATGCAGGCAACTCGCTGGGATTGGACACGGGATTAGTGTTCCCTGATGTGGCCACATACAAGGGTTGCTGGTAGTTGAATCCCTGGGAAGCAGAGTTGGCAGGTGCTGGAGCTCCAGGACCTACTCCCGGCGCTGCATAAGCCAGCGGAGGCACTGCACCACTGGGATAACCATAGCTATATCCCAATCCCGCTTGGTTGTGGTCCAGTGTCTGTCCCTGTGTCGCTTGCAAACTCATCTGCGCCATGGCTCCGTGCAGCGTCTGGGAATTGGGTGATGCTTGGGCCTTGTAGGCCGGCGGAGCGACATGCTGTTGCTGCTGATACATGGGATTCGTGTAGCCGGCAGCATTGGGATCAAAGTACTGCTGCTGGGTGAGGCTGTACGGCGGCGGTGGCTCATTTGGCGGCGGTGCAGTGGCATAGGAACAGGCGGCCTGCGTTGGATTCTCTGAGCCCACTGGCACTGGACGCACTGTGGGCACATAGCCGGGATTCGAGGCATCCGCCATGGCTGCCTTGGCCTTAAGGTAATCCCTCAGTTTGGGCGTGCTGCTGCTGCTGCTACTGATTGCTGCTTCTGGGAGGGATTTACTCACCGAAGGAGGTGTGACAGTGGCCGCCGCTGCTGCCGCCTTGACGCTCTGCATTCGCTGCTGGCGCTCCTCGGACTGGACATCTCTGGCAGACCGGAATCTGGTGAGTAATTTCTGCACATTTCCAGCTAGCTTCTTGTAGAACTCCAAACCCTTTGCCGACTTGGCCAGAAGATCCTCGTACACATCATAGGAGGCAGCTAGAGAGCTGTAGAAGTGCTCTCGCTTCTGCTTCACATCCTGGAGGGTCTTCAGCACTGGCGCCGCCTTGGCATAGTTTTCGGTGAGAGCCTGCAGTATGTTGCCCTGGGCCACCATATTCTGATCCAGCAGCTGTGTCAGCTTGTCGTGCTTGCCCAGTTCGGTGGCAAAGAGAGCCTGGAGACCCTCCTGGCCGCCATGGGCTATTACCTTGGTCGTTATGTCATCCTCGTTGATGGCAATCCTTAGATCCGCGTGGAATTGAGCCCGCTGTGCCTTCATTTCGTTCACTTTGTTGACAATGAGCTTGACATCCTTGAAGATCTCAGTGGTGTTCAGCTCCGAGCTAAGCTTGGGCATCAGTTGCTGGATTTCCGGCAATGGTCTGGCCAGAATCTTCAGGTTATTCACGTGCAGGCTCATAGCCTTGCGCAGCGTGTTATTGGATTCACCAGCTCGGGCGTGCGCTTCACTGTACTTCTGGAATTCCCTGGTCAACTCGGTTATGTGAGCATTCGGCGTACGCTGGACGCCGCTGGCCGATTGGAATTCGCGTTCCGCTTTGGCCTCTGCCTCTAGCATGTGGGAAATCTCTCCAAGATTGGTCTCCACATCGGCTGTAATCTCAGCTAGCTGCGACATTGCCTCCACCAAGTCACTGATGGCCGTCTTGTTGGCGTTCAGCGAAGCACAACGATCCACAATGCCCTGGGGCAGCTTGTTGGCTTGCTCCTCGTTGATATTGAGATTGTCCAGAGTTAGAGAGCTCATGAACGCCTCCAGTTGGGTGTCCTTCTCCTCCAGCAGAGCTCCATACTTTCGCAATAGCTTGGCTTTCTCCTCGCTGTACAAAGAACTGGCTTCATGCGCCTTCATGGGCACTAGTCTGGCGAAGATGTCCGGTCCGGAATGCTCTTCATCGGTCACTTGGAAGCCAATGCCATTGACCAGATTGGCACCTTGGACAGCAGCAATGGTGGAGAGCTCCGGCACTGCTTCGTGGTAAATAAACTCATTCTCGTTCTTGGCATTCTTGCGCTTTGCCTCCACGACATCGGCGGTGAAGCTGAGGGATTCGTTGATCTCTCGTTGGTCGGGCAGGCCCTTGGACTCCTTGCGTGCCTCCTCCAATTTGTCCCAGGATGCCTGAAAAAAGAATGAAACTCATTAGTTTTTCAGAAGAAAGAAGTTTCCTGATTTCCCACCTGATACAGCGTCACACGTTCGCCCATCTGTCGCTTCTCCTCGGAATGCTGTCCTTGGTACAAGTAGAGGATGCAATTCAGATAATTGATCTTGAAACGCACATATTTCTTCCACAGCTTGTAGACCGAGCTATCGATGACCTGGGCCACGGGACCCTCGTCACCGCCGGTGAGCAGAGCCGCCAGAGCAGCGCCATAGTAAACCACAATCTGGGCCGTCACCTTGGCCACAATATGGGGCTTTCTATTGTCAATTAATGACTTCTCCAGTATGCACTCCTGGGCCTGGGCGAAGCACACCTGTTGCTGGAACACCAGCAGCTCTTGGGTCATGAAATCACCGCCACTGTTGACATTGGCATATCGCTCCCTCAACTCTCCATAGGCCCAGGCAGCAGCCTGAAAGTGAGTGCAGGCCATCTTCATGCCATCCACATCGCCACGGGTCACCGAAGCTCCCGATTGTGTGTGGGAGGCGGCAATGTTGAAGAGGACAGCGGCACGTTCAAAGCGCAGATCGCTAACCTCGTGCACGGCACTGTGGTAGAGATCCTTCCACGTAAAGGTAAAGATGCCGCGATCCACCAGCTGGGGGAAACGATTCTGGAGGGCATGCAGCTGACAATAGTAGCGTTTCATTATGGGTGCTCCATCCTTGGTGGTGCGCATGGCCTGGTTGCGTAGTGTCTCCAAGGCATGGACCTCTTTGGAGTAAGCTTCGGGATCTTCATGGTAGAATTCGGCAATGTACTGCAAAAGGAAGTTTTAATTAATGTTTATATACTTTGAATTTAATAATGGTAAGCACAAAAAGCTATTTTCCACTTTTTAAAGCCTTTCTAATTGATTTCAATAAGATTTCTGAGGCACCCTTTAGAAATGGTTCTAAGCTTCTATATGAGTTCCCAATGACTCAACATTTCCTATAAGGTAAACATAAATAAATAAATTCGCAAATAAATATGTAGCAGTTACTCCCCCACCATTGTTTGTTTATAACTTTTTATTTAGCAGCTTGTCTGGGGGTCGCCTGTTAATCAGATGACGGCGGTGACTCAGCGGCCACACAAAGACAGCTTAAAAATGGTGAAAAGGGAAAATTGGAGGAGCCCCAAAGAATGCAATTGCAGCCAGAGGAATCCCAAAGGTAATAGCACCAAAAAACAACGCAATATGCCCCGGTCTTGACTGATAGCAACTTAATTATATTTGGGCCACCTCTTTGTTTTGCTAATTCTCTCTTAATTTTCTTTCTTTCACTCCCCTTTGCTGTCTGGTCCGCCTCTCTCTCTCTAAACATTTTACCTTTTTCAGTGGCGCAAAGGAGGTACCTTCGGGACTCGATTTTAGGGCGAACCACAACATATGCAAACGCGGCACCGCCTCCATTGTGTGTCTGCCCAGTTACAGCTTTATTAAACGCACAATTTAAGCAAATTTTTTGCAATTTAATTAGTGGAAACAAAAAACAATAATTCGGCTACGAGTTGGAGATGTGAAAACTGCGATGGCACACAATCGATAACTACTATTGAGGTTTGACCGGCACTATCGCGAGTACTACTTTGTGATCGATGATTCGCAGGCTCTATCGATATTGCGTACTGAAATTGTTTCAAATTTAATTTATTTATGAAATTCAAATTAATTAACATTACTATTGGTAAATTCACGTTAATTTAAAGAAATTCTCCTTAAGAAATTTGCTGATTGAATTATTTGGTATATAAATACTAATACTACATAAATAATAATGTTACCGATTACTATTCAAAAAATACATATTTTGATGTGGAACAATAATTGTAATTTAATTAAAAATCCCTTGTTAAATTTTAAATATTTTCAAAACATTTTTTTAATATTTTCTGTTTCAACAATCAAATCGATCTACTTATATTCGTATGAAAAATATATACATATTTCTTCAAAATTTTATTATGAAAAAAAAACCGTTAAAAATTTAATGATGCTGACCTATTAACTCAAATTAAAGTAGAACAACAAAACTTTCCGAATTTAAATTAAAGGATTTACTCAATATTTCAAAATCTTGCATTTTTAATTTTGAAAATATTTAATTTAAAAAAGTAAATTCCACATGCTTTTGTTAACCCAATAAAATTCAACACAAACAACTTTTCAGAATTGAAATTAATGCTTGATGGGTTAACTTATGAACGATTTAAAATTCAACACTGGACATTTTAGAAAACTATTTGTTTATTTTTGATTTATTAATTTTTATACATTTTTAACTTAGGCCTAAACACAGATGGGATTTGGAGATGAAGTACATGTCATGCGAGAGGTGAATATAATAACAAGAATGCAATTATTTGCTAATTGCCGCTTACAAAACTGACGGATGTTACAATGGCAGCATTACAGCTAATTTAAGTTAAGGTACATACGTTGGTCGTACTTAAATCTAATTACATTAACTAATGGAAACGCTACTAGGCTTTGCCGCTTTGGAGATGTTTCGTTACAGTTCCTAAGATGAGACGGGGATCCGTCTCCCTCTCCTCCACTCTTCGTTCTCATTCAATTTCTATATACATATCGCTGTTCGGCGTAATGCTGCTGCTAAAACTCTGATCAACCTCAGGATCACTGAAGACACTAGCATCTGACTCGCTCTCCAGATCAAGGCGGGAGACGAACTGCGGCGCTATGGATTTCCTGTCCTCATCCACATTCGGTGTCTGGGCATCGATGAAGAAGTCTGTAGATGGGAATAGTAATTAGTAAAGTTGCATAATAAATAATTTCGGGTAAAATAAAATGTTAAAATTTGATGGGAGTTTGTGATTTACAAATTTTGGATCATTTACCTGCCAATGATATTTGAAAATTTGAAGGCTAAAGTTATGGATTGCGTGCATTGATTATAGTCGTTTAATATTTTTTACATGTCTATTTTTTAAGTGCTTTAAAAGGCTACGTCGTGAAGTTCAGGTGTCGTGGGCATAATTTGTACTGTAAAAAATGTTTCGGTGTTTGTGATTCAGATTTTAGTTTGCAAAAAATGATAAATAATGAGTTGTGATTGTTGGAAAGAAAGAAAACATATTTATTTTATGAAATACTAACCTGATTCGACGCCATTCCACTCGCTCACCACGGTATTGTGGCTATGCTGATGTGGATTGGGATGATCCTCGACAGAACCTTCGTATATCTGCAGATCTGTGGCCAGTTCATCGTGCTCCGTCATATCAAAGATCTCGGTCACTTTCACTTTGTTCGTATTGTTGTCAGTATAATAATAGGCATAGAGAGCATCGTTGTGCGTTGTCATCTTGAGGACATGCTCAAAATTATCTACATCGTCCTCTAAGGGTGTGGCTCCACTGCAAATTTAAATAGATTTAGTTATTAGCAACTTGATTTTATGGTATTTTTAAATTTCTAGCTTACCATTCATCCACAAGAATGGATACACGGGGTCCATATAGCCGGCTAGAGTGCAGGAGTCCAGTGGCATCAAAGTGGGGCTGGTCATAGAGCTGCAAGAAAAATAATTCATTCATGAATTAGGAGAGTTTAAAAATGTATGGTCTAGACAGTTTAAAGTTTTCCATTTATCCCACAAAGGTCGAAAACTAGTTCATTGATTTAGCATGGCATTTACATGACATTGAATTGCTATGCTTGTAATGGAATTCTTTAGCATTGAATTAACTTACCGTAAATTTATTGAGCAGCCTTATTTGCATGGCATTATTCAACTGAACAATAAAGTCCTCCACCATTATTCTGGCTTGCTTCGTCAACTTTGGCGTCAAGGCAGTTATTCTGCAAGAAAAAAATAGATAAATTAGATTTAGTTAATAATTTTAGAGGGAAATATTAAAATCCTACTTGGTAATGGTGGCCAGCAGAAAGTCCATTGGCACTGTGGCGGGCAGGGAAAGCAGCTTGATGCCGCGATGCTTGAATATCCAGTTGGCCAAACCCTTGTTGGCCTGTTCAATACAGTCCTTGATCACATCCAGGACTGTTTGAGGCATATTTGAGCTTAAAGCGTCCTGAAATACAGAATGTTTCATTAATATAAGGGGTTCAAATGATTTCTTCAATGGTTATCCCTACCTTTCTATGCTTTTTGCACTCCCTGCACTCGGGATCAAACTCCTGGGGCTGGGACACTGTTTCCGAGACCACAAATGTGGACTGAACGGCCACACAGCGCCGGCAATTGATGAGATTATTGCGATGCAGAAATTGCAACGCATCATCGAATCCCTGCTGGCAGAACTTGGACAGGAACTCCGGACGTGGCGGGAACAGGATGCGTACGAAACGATTTATGTTCTGCCTCGAGATCTCGATACTGGTATTGGCCCAATTCAGATGAAAGAGCTGCGAGCTCTGGTCTCTCGGGCAGATATCACTTTCACCGCAGAACGGGCTCACCGTGATGGTGTTCTCATCCAGAATGGGCAGGTTATCAGAGAAGGCACCGTCCATATAGCGAACACCACGGAATCGTGGTGGCAGAATGCCAGAGAAGCCCGGTATGAAGCAAGCACAGAGCAAGGCCTGGAGAACCTCCTCGCGGGACTCAAACTCCGAGATGATCACATTCTTGCCGTCATAAACACGGGTCAGTGAGATGTGCAGGCGTCCATTAACCCGCTTGTGAGCATCATCCGGCAGATGCTTCTGTAGACCCTCCAGCAGGCAGGTCTGGATATTAAAGGAGGGACTGAAGGGGCCCAGTGAATAACGACGGGCCTCGTTCACCACCCTAAAGAAGTCAGAGGTCATGCTGCCTGTAAAACACAAACAGAAAATTGTAATTAGTAAACATAAACTTTTTAAAAGCGTACTTAATTCTTGCTTATATAAACCTAAAAAGGGGCAAGACCCCTAAACCGTAGCTTTAACAATTAATGTGTTTTTGAAATGGCAAGTGTACTCAGTATCAAGTTATAAAAGGTTCTGAAATTTTAACGATTTAAACTGCTAAAAATATATCTTTACCTATATTAACCGTTATTATTAGAAATTAGACATAGGGTAAAACCAACTGTGTTTATTCAACACCCTTGCTAATCGGACTTATACAATAATAATATTGATATTCATGGGTTCACATGGGCTATCTCTCATCGCTCTTCCCCCAGATTTGCTGATCCTCCTGCTGCTGATGATCTACGTCTGATGATGCCAGCGGCTTTTGCGTCATTGTGTCAACCAAAGGGTCAAGTGGTGCTCTTGGCAGTGCCTGTTTTTTCCCCTCACCGGTTATGGAGGGGAAATGACGTACAAACCTTGAGTGGTTTGGAGGTGTTTGTTTTGTTCTATTTGCTACTCGACCCCCAACACAGTTAATGGGGCTGATAAGAAACTATGGAACCCACCATATGGCATAACTGGAGCTCAACAATGAAACGTAAAAACAAAATCTAGTGCGTTTCATAAGCACATTCCACCTCGTACGATGGAAAAATGAATGAAATGTATAGGACAAACAGAAATTTATAAAAAACCTCCTGTTGAAAGTTTAATCATTACGTAATTTAATTAATATTTGTACCAAGAAGGAAAAAAGAAGGTATTTAAAGAACTTCCTCATTCATCTATGTAAATCTTTTCATTCACAAATAAATAAAATTACATAAAATTATACCAAACCTCCAGTTAATACTTTAACCTTTAGTTAAATACTATTATAAGCCTAGTAGAAGGTTTTTTATTACCCGATTTCCTATCTAGAAACCTATGCTCCCATACTATATATAGTAAATAGTATATAATCATAAAAAAAAGTAGTTTCTCGTGGAACCCATACCATATGTTGATAAGAAATCAACATCCCGGCAGTGCCACACGCTAGCACTTTCCAAATATTTCGATTAGATGGGAGCGGAAAGGCCTAAAGCATTGATAATGATAAGGTTAGATGAAATATATATTCACGGAATTCAAATCATTCGTGAATTTTGTTCTAGAAATTGACGTAAAACGAAATCAGGCCATCAGACAAGACTGCAAAATGCGGAATAGCTAGCGAAAGCTAAGGTCAAGACCTGTCTCAAGTCAATGTGAAATAAAGATAGTTAGAAAACAAGTGACATAATGCTACCCCCGGTGGGGCTTCTTATCGGAACAAACTATTTTTAAAGCCGGTATGACATTGAACACTATTACTTGTTATTATTTATTATTACTGGTGGAGTTTGGAACCATGCTAAGGAACCCCGTGGCAGAACTCGTGGGGGTCCCAATATCATATCAAATTTTGTTTTTGCTATTCCCCCGAGTGCTTTCATTTGTCAACAATAACAATAATGAACTAGGGAGGAAAATGCAAATAAACAACGCTATCGCATTACGTGCTGCCTTCTCGATTTCTGTTGTTTTTCTGACTTTTCTTGGGTAAATAACAAAAGTGCATGTGCAAAACAAGAGTCATTTTATCATCAAGAAAAGTGGGCTTGGCATGATTAAAGGGGTTGAAAGTCAATTCATTAGGGAAATCAAAGTGCAAAT